GTTTGCTTTGTAACCTTTTGCAGTATTTGTGGTTCGTCTTTCTTTTCCTGACCATCACCACATTATTTCAGGAGTTTTCCTCTGTATTGACTGCTCAGCTACTCATCGAAATCTCGGTGTTCACCTCACGTTTGTCCGTTCGACAAACCTTGATGTCAACTGGACATGGCTCCAACTGCGTGCCATGCAAGTTGGTGGCAACGCTAACGCTGTAAGTCCCTGTACAGGTTTTTTTTTTGAGATAAGTCAAAATTCTTTTGCAACGTTTGTTGAGGACGTTGTTGTAGATGGATTTCATTTTCCAGCCGTGACAGTAGTTGTGCCCAAATGAACTGCAGCACTTTTAGAGATTGTGTACTTTCCTAAAGTTTCTTGAAAAGTTAGAATTGGACTTGTTATGCATTCTTGTTCTAAACGAACGCAATTGTTGTTTTATTGATCAAATTCGTCGCAAGAAGAGAACTATTGTTCTAAAGAAGTCTATCACATTTCATTAGAAGCATGTTCTTTTGGTGACATGTCATATCATAAGCATTTTTGAGGCTAGTACTTGCTCTCTTTGTTGTTATTGATGGTTCTCCACTTCAGATGCAATTTTTCAAGCATCATGGATGTAACAGCAATGATGCTCAGATCAAGTACAAGAGCAGGGCTGCTCAGCTCTACAGGGTGGGTTCCTTTCCCATATAATGGCTCTATTCAATCTATTTGTTGCGAATACGCTCTCATGCTCTGCTCATGTTCCTTCTAATGACGATTTATTCAGGAGAAGCTCGCTCAGCTCTGTCGTGAGGTTCAAAACAAATATGGTAATACAGTTCATATTGACACAGCAGCCGTTGTAGAAGAGCACAAAGAGGTAACGTGTGTTTCGACTGATAATATTAGAAAAGTTGTTCCAGGATTCAGCTTTATCGCTGTTGTTTAGGAAGACTTCTTTGCTCAAGATTTTGTTCATACTTCTCAAAGCGCAACATCGTTAAGCAGTGAAGCATATATTGCAAAGGAGAACGACAGAATCGGCTCAGACGGCGATCTATGCGATAATCATGGTATTGAAAAATTTTCCTTCTTCGTACTTCTTCGTATTTCTTGAGGTTGAACAAAGAATAGCTAACAAGACCAGTGTCATGCATCCCAAGAGAAAAGCAAAGGTGTGCTTCAATGCACAAAAGTCTTCTTGCAAACTTAATAAATATACTTTACATCTTGCCAACCAAATGTCTGATTAGATTGCTTGCACGTCTTCTTCGTTCTGGTCAAGCCTAGTTTTGTAGTGCTTCAAACGAATGAATTTATATTGTTTGCATCTATTATTTAAGGACCTAAAGTGGACCATATCGACTCCGAGCCGGTTGCAACATCAGCACCTGTTTCGATAATTCTCAAAAAACCCATCAAGAAAGCTGGGGTAAGCTAACTTTGCTACACATTACGACTTGGACATTACTGTCTACGTTCCGCAGTTTTACTTCTTGAAAGACAAATCACCTGATAAGTCTGTTTGGTGCCGACATGGATGATTAGCCTTCTGCAATGATGCAGAGTTTGGTGCCGTAGTACCTTGGCAAAGTCATGTTTTTGTTTACACTAACATTTTTTTCTCATCTGTTCGCTTCGTCAGGGTGCTAAGAAATCCGCTCTGGGAGCACAAAAAGTCCGGATTGACTTCGATGAGCTGGAGCAACGAGCCGCTGAACACGAAAAGAACCATGCAGAGGTAGGCATTTGTTTGGCAGAGGAAGTTTCCTAATATGTTCAATTTTCAAGTGTTATTTTGAAGGTTGGTGTGACTGCGTCTCAGTTGGAAAAGTTAGAGACACATGTTGATCCTGTAGCTAAATTGAGTGCTCGGCTAGCCATGCAAGATATACAGAAGAAGGCAAGCGAGGTGAGCGATGGTCTCCGCTTTTTGTCGGATTTTTGTTTACCTACACTCTTAAAATTTCCTATGAGCTCCAATTTTTTTTTTTGAATATTTGTTGCAGTTGTAGGAGTTGAAGTTTCGTTCGCTCTCTACATCTCTGTAGTGGCCTCGTGGCCTCACAACAAATTTGTCGAGTAATAGAGTACATAAAAAAGGCTTCAGGACCCGCAAAAGGCAGCTGCCGTGGATCGATTGGGAATGGGCGGATTTGGAAGGCCTCGTGCAGCGCATTCGGTGGCACAAGGTGTAAAACCGATTCGACAGGTATTCATTACAACGCGACTGATCCTTTGTTTTCTGAATATTCATTTCTTATTTCAATGTATACAGGTCGATTTGAGTAAGCGAGTTGAGCCAACGATTTCACTTTCGCAGAAAAGTGAAGACGATTGGGAAGTTGTAGAAGAAAAATCTTTGTGAGTTTTGTGAATTTGCACCTCTCAAAGATCTTCAGCTCTTGTGTTAATTGATTTTCAATTCCTAGTCTGTTCCAGTTTTTGATCCATCAACTTTTAGAAATAAGAATGATGACGACCTTTTTACCACCGACTTTTCGTCGAAATCGCGGACAGATTTCTTTGACAGTTGGGATGACCAGCAGCAAGAGATGGACAACAAGAGGTAGTTAATTTTAAAATGTGCGAATGTTGTATTTTGTAAGAAAACGGTTCATTTACACATTCAGAAGCACGTCCTCGAACTCGGCTGCCAGGAAACCAGTATTAGCTGCTCCGCAATCGGATGTGGACATACAAAAGAAGTTTGCCGGCGCAAAGGCTATTTCAAGTGATATGTATTTTGGTAGTAACGAGATGGAATGTGAGTTTTCCGCACCGTTTTCTGATATTTTAATGATTAAAGAATGCAATTTGTAAGTTTTTACATCGTCTTTTACTGATATTGATTAATAGGTACTTGTCAAGGATTCGCGATGCGTCTGCCCCGTTTTCGGGTCTCTGCCTCGGATCCCCTTTTTAGATGTCTAGGGACAAGGTCCCTTCCTTTTAGCTCGGTAGAGAAGTAGTGACTTACAGTTTATTCTTCGGCAAGTAGCAGTACAGAATAGGCGATCGATCAGCAGAATCCTGTGACAACTCGACAGATGCAAAAAGGGGATTTTAGCGGAGACCTAAAACGGGCAGGCGCACCCCGGACCCTTTACATATTATTTTTTCTGACTATGCGTTATGGTTTTCTTTTTCAGTACGAGACAAAAGCCGCACTTTCTCGTTTTGAGGGGCAGACATCATTAGGCTCAGCTGATTTGTGGGGACAAGGGAGTCAACCTCAGTATTCTCAGGTTGGTTGCTCAATTTGGTTTTTTTTGTCGGCTGGGCGAAATATTTCTTTTCATAGGGAAATTGCATTTTGGATGCACTAATATGCTTGAAACAAAAAAATTGTTCAATGTGGAAGAAATAAACTTAAAACTAAGTTAGAAATGAAATTTATGTTTTGCAGGTGCCTGAAATGTCAGATATAAAAGATTCATTACGCGCTGGTGCGTCGAAGGTTGCTGAGAAATTTTCATCAATTTCCACGTCTTTCTCATCGTACATGTCGGTAAGTTGGCGGTTTGTTGCAGTAATAAGGTTTTTGCTATGTTGCCAGAAATACCTGGTGTTTGTTTTAGCGTGCTCCAGCGAAATCATAGACACCATTATCACTTTCAGTAAGGCTTGTGATGTTTTAGATGTATTTGCTTTGTGTTGTGGTTATGATTGTGTATTTTCTTTGTTTGATTTTTTTCGGTTCCGGTCTGCTTCCATTTTTCTATGGTTTTTTCTTCTGCTTGGCTTGGGACGGTATTTTTGCCATGTTATAGTTGCAGAAGAAAGTTCTATTTTCAGGATCCCTAAGTCACGATGTACTCCCAATCGTCTTCACAAACATTCATTCATGGAAATAAAATGTAGTTTAATCGAAGTTTTTCATGCAAATAGTACTAACTAGATTAGTATCATTTCGAACTATGATATTCTTGTAATTGTAATTTATGGACGAGACGATTCGTGTGATACAACTACAATCGCCAGATGTGACTTGTTTTTAAAAATGATACAAAGTATTTATTTTATGAATAATTTGCATTGGGTGGGATAGCTCTCATTCCTTGCAGTAGATTTCATTTGTGATGAATTAATGTTTATTCACGACATATTTGTTTTCCAAATGTGATAGATGTTTCTTTCTTTGGGTTTGGAGAATAAAATCTATGGTTAATTATGTGTGTTCATAGAGGAAATGCCGACATGTGGGCTGTTATCTATATTTCCATAGAGTTTACTATCATTTCGTTTTAATATTTCTGAAACAAAAAAGCAGGTTATAGCGCTCATACAAAGCGTTTTGGGAGAATCGGGGAATCTGCGAAAAAAGGTATCCAAGTTGGTGAAACTGCTAGCGTCCTTGTACGGGTTTCGGACAATTACCGAATGAGAAACGGTTGAGAAACTACGGGACACGAATCCACCCAAATTCCGTGCCCACTGGCGATTCAGTGAATCGGTCAATACCTAT